TGAATGAAGTCTACTTAAACAGCAATGCCATCAGACGCGAGAAGTATCATTCTGCAATTGAAATTATAGAAAAGATCCGATCATATATGTCTAAAAGGGCTAAAGGTGGACGAAGACTTCAAATCACATCTCAGAAATCTAAACCGCCTAGATAGTAGAAGTTAAAAAAAGACAAATATAACAAGAACACGGTATATACACGTTGACTCAAAATAACAATATGCTATTTACAGGAAAGATCACAATTTAGGACGGGAAGGACGAAATGCAAATAAACGCCAAAAAATACCAGGAATTCCACCTAGAGTTAAAACGAAATCAGTAGCGTAACTAGAGGTCGACAATCATTCGGAGAGAAGCCTACGAGATTCGCGCAGTCAAGCCAGCACTGACCAAGAACAGGCTGCAATACAATCATTCAAATCTCCAATTCAAGTGCAATTTGGAAACATGGAAATGAATTTGATTGTATCTGCCCAAAGGTGAATAGGACATTTGTAATATATTTACTAGTGTAACTTAAGGTCGACAGTAATTCGAAGAGAAGCCGATACGATTCGCGCATTCAGGCCAACACCAACCAAGAACAGACCACAATGCAATCATTTAAATGTCACTTTCATGCGCGATTTGGAAAATAGAAACGAGTTTGATTAAATATACTTAACAGTGAACAGGATGGCCTGAGTGTATTCACTAGCGTAAAACAAGGTCAACAGATATTGGGAAAGAAGTATATGGGATTCGCGAAGTCAAACCAAAACTGACCAATACTAGGCTACAATACGACACTTCGAATCTCCTATTCAAGTGCAATTTTGCAGCATGCAAACGAGTTCCGTTAAATCTACTCAACTGTGCCCATGGTCGTCAGGACAATACTCGCTAGCCTTACTCAAGGTCAACGTTCATTCGCAAGGACGTCAATCCGATTTGCTCAGTCAAGCCAAAAGTGATCAGAATACGGCCGCAAAACAATACTTCAAACCTCAAATGCAAGTGCAATTTACCGGCATGAAAAAGTTTGGTTAAATCTACTCAATTGTGTCAACGGAGGTCGGCAATGACTCACAAGCCTAATCCAAGGTCAACAGACATTCGGAGCGACGTCAATGAGACCTGCTCAATCAAACCAATATCAAACAGGAAAAGGCCCCATTGCGGTCCTTTAAAACTCACATTCATGTGCGATTTGCAAGCCTGCAAACGAATTTTGTTATATCTACTCAACTGTGCCCATGGTAGTCAAAAAACTAGTCACTAGCCTAACTAAAGGTCAACTGCCTACCTTTATTCTTTCGTCACTAACACTCCTCCCCTTCCAATATTCATTGCATCGCATTAAATTAAAACTATCAATTTTTGTTTACCAAGTCAATTAGTTTGAATGGATGTGCTAAAGGGGACCGCAAAAGGTACTGGAGGAAATTTCGTGGGAAGAATGTGTGTCACATATACGTGACGCCAGAATAACACGCCTCAAACTGCTGCAATGGTAGGTCAGCCAAAAGAGATGCACATTTTGAGACTTCTAGAATAAATGCTTTAGAACTTGAGGAGGTCAAGTGGCTATTTTTTGGCATAAAATATGTGCACTCTTTTAGCAAATCGAATGAAATTTGGGGGACTGT